GAGGGTGAGGGGTTGGGAGGCAGCAGGCACCCGGGGAGCTGATGGAGTAAGGGGAGGAGACATGGCAGCAGAGGGAAAAGGCAGAGGCTTATAAGATATTTATTAATAACCTGGGTGCCACAGTGGCACATCCAAACGAGCCACATGAACTCAGTACTGGTGCACAACACAAAATTCATTCTGTTTATGGGAGGAAAATCTTAGAGGGAACACTTCTCCCAGCTTTCCCCCTCCCCCGAGTTAATGTGGTACAAATTGGGTTAATGCAATTGCAGGATAGTTGAATGAGGGGGGTCCGGAAAGGGCCAAACTCATCCGTATTAGTAGGAGGGAAAAGTTCTTAGAGGGAGTCACACAACACCTTTTACTTCTGGTCATGTGTCCATCTTGACCCTGAGAGTGTTATCTCTAGAGGCATGGCTAGTGGGGGTCAGAGGCGTGGTTAACAGAGGTCAGGAGGCGTGGCTAATGTGTCTCTAATTTTGGTTCAGAAAATATGGTCACCATAGTTATAAGTACTCCTATTCTCACTCTTAAAATCATGCAAAAAAAATTGTGCATATGAAAGTCAGCCGTGGGGGAAAAAATCCCTGCTTTACATTGTTTCGCTATAATTCAAAGTTTTTTGGAAAATATCTTGGACTTATAGCAAGGATGGCCTGTATATTAAACACTGATCCAAAAACATTCAAGGAAGGGAGAAAAAACCCCTGCAACATTTTTGCTTTTCAGGTATTTGTTTGCTTGTTGCAATGTAGAAACATTTTGAATGACAGGGAACCAAAGAGGGTAACTGAAAGAAAAAAAGATAAAAGCCCAAAATGACTTACTAGAACTGCTTGTATTTTTGTGCACAGCCTGAAGTCTCCTGAAAAAAGAGGGTTTTGTCTTTAAAGTGGCCAGCACCTCTTGCAACATATTTCCTAATCAGCTAGTATTTATGGTCGATATTTTATATTTCCAATTTCCCCCTAAGGGCTCATGAGAAAGCAGCACACCTGCCAACCTTTTCAGCTGGGCCAATAATTGCCAATTTGCTCTTTGCCTTAGTATATCACTCAATTTAGCCCTTGCTGTGCCCTGCATACATCCTCATTCATCTAGGTGCCCCCTTGACAATTAGAGTGTTAGCTTCAGCTAACTGGGGCAACTATTCTAGTAGGGCTGGAAGACAATTATTAGTCTATTTTCCCATCTTCTGGCAACAACATTGAGAATTCATGACAATTACATTGAGCAATTCTATACTGCGCTTCCTCCTCCTCTCCATCCACCCACCTTCCAAATACTTCAAATTATCACAGATCTACTACTACATTCAAATTTCCACGTTCACAGGGAGTGAGGGTTCTATTTAAATGATAATGAGGGACGATCCATTCAATTTAGTGAGGGAGAAAATCCATTAAAACGCAGGCAGTTCTTAAGCTGATGGGTCAAGAAAAAGATAAAACCTTTTTTAAAGCCATTATACAAGGGTCTGTGTGGATTTTTTACACTGTTTGGAACATCAGAAAAGATTAGGACGATTACAGAAGAGAGAGAGGAAGCAAAATCTCCCAAACCTCCCAGTTTTACTTGGGTCAACACAACAAGCAGCAATGGGGCTTATCTATCTCATAGTTCTTTAGTAACATTAAATAACCTTACTAAGAAAGATAGAAGGAAAAAGAATCCTGTTTTGGAAAATGGCCATTGACCAATCTGAGTGAACACTAAGTACATCAGTTTCAAAGACCTTCTCTTTGTAATAAATTAAAAGAGAATTTACCACTGAGAATTGCAAGTATGAACAAGTGTAAATTCTAACCCTTTCCCACTCCTTTAAATAAGAACTAATGTTGTGCAAAGACTTGTTAAAACTTCTTCATTTTCCTATAATGGGTTTATCATATTAATTGAAATACCAGTCCCAACAAATCAAACCTTTTCTGCAGTCAGAGATTATTTCTCTAGGGTCACTCAAAATATATATTTTCCCATAAACAGTGCTCCAAACAACATCTGGAAAGATGCACTGTACAACACAGAGCATTATTGTTATACTGTAAAGCTTCAATTCTCTTTCCACAAGGAAATTTCACTGTGCAAAGCAGAATGAGTGTGAGTGACAGAATGAGGATATGGGTGTGTGTACGTGTGAAAGAGAAACTGAATGACTTCACTTCAGTTTCCCTTAGGGTAGAATTATTAATACTAAGCTACCAAGACTAAGCTACCTTCATGGTTCATCAGAGACTAAAAACATGTATTAATGTAAATAAAACACAATTTGCTGTCACCCATTAAGTAACTCATCTCAAGAAACAAAGAAACAGCAAAACTAAGTGACTCCTATTAGCACCTCCTAAATGCAGAATTGCAGTGAAGTGAGAGGAGCAGCCAAGGAATGCCATAAAGCGATGTGCAGAGTGGCCACACCGTGCTCCCCAAACTCCCCAAACTGTAATACTTAATATTATAGCAGAAACAAAACACATACATCCCTGTTGTACATCTGCTGTGCCACCACATAGCAGTCAAATCTGCTAACATCTGCTTTGCTTACTCTGGTTGTTGCCACAAGTTAACAGAGATGGAGGTGGGGGATGAAGGCAGCACAAAGCAGGCATCGCAAGACTGTATTGACTCCAAACACACTGAGGAACAGCAGAACAGCCTGTCGGACTGAGCGAGCAATGGGCCAGATGCTTACGGAAGCAGAACACATTGGCAAGATAAAGTAACCACACTAGGACCATTGTTTTTGAGCCTCAATTTGTAATCCCTCAGCGGTCCCTAAGGGGGAGGGGGGGAGGAAATAAAGCCTTGCTTCTTAACATCTTTAGTGCATGATGGAGATTTAATCCTAAGAGTGCCTCACATATGGGTCAGGACATTTCAACAGCACACCATCCATTTGAATGGTATGCCAAGAGATGCATCTATACAATCTTATAGGATAGTAAAATCCTTTGCTAATTCACACTCCTTACAGCATGCACATCTTGAGTCTTCCCCATTCCTCTGCAAAAGTATAACAGCAGTTTGCAACACTGCTGCCAGTGAAGACTTACTTGGGAACTGTCACTAACAATCCATTTACTAACTTGTGATGTAGTGTTGTCAAAAGTAAATTAAAATTCAATTGCTATAATGAACAAAGTGCATTTTGTGATTCATAAACCTCACTATTCAAATAGTTTCATTAGTCACTAACTGGAAAAATTCCATCATTTGTAATGGGTCACAGGGTCATAAGAGCAACATAACTGAGGCTCTACTGTATGCTCCAGTCCATAGGCATCATGCATGGCTGGAAGCCTCAGGCACCTGGGCCACACTGAATTTCTTTGGATTAACAACTTCCTGTGAGGTTAATCCTGTGGAGTTAAGCGCCCAATGAAATTCAATGACGCTTAAGGCCTTTAGGTTCTCATGCTGTAACATTGTAAGTGGAAAGAGAAAATGGTTCTCTCCCCATCCACAATGTGATAGGCTCTTCCAAGAACCTATGACTCTGGCTAATCAGTTGGATTAACAAGAAAAAAATTCTGAGGGTCCCATAGAAATACCTTGACCTAAACTGTTCAAACCATGTGGTAGGTCTGAAACTTTTATTCTTTTTTCCCCATCTGTACTGAGCAATAGCAGTGTTATTAGCTGCCTCAGGTCACATACCTTTGAAGAGTGACTAGAGGGAGAGTATCACGCCAAAAAAGAAAGCCAGAAAGACTATTACTATCCAAACACATACAGTCAAACACCACACCAACACACAAAGATGATTTGTCCCTAAGGGATTCTCCCTTCCCTTTTTCCTCTTCAGTATGCTCAGAATCTTTATCATGGAAGCAGATCACATGGACAGCTTCCCCCCCCCCCTCCTCCCACCATGTAGGTTGTTTACAGCACCCCATTCACACTCAAAACATGTAGAGAGAATTCCCCCTCCTCAGTCACATTTCCCTGTCAGAGCTGTCAAGCTGAATCCAGCTTTTGT